TACATAGATCAAGAAGCTGCTGTTTGAATAGAATTGGGGGACACCACATGATTTAAAATCAGGAAAGGTGTGTGTCAGGATTGTATATTTTCATCATACATTTTCAACCAATATGCTGAGCAAATAATCAAAGAAGCTTGACTATATGAAGAAGAACACAGTCTCAGCATTGGGAGGAAGACTCATTAACAATCTGTGATATGCAGATGACACAACTTTCCTTGCTGAAAGTGAAGTACACTTGAAGCACTTACTAATGAAAATCAAAGACTACAGACTTTAGTATGGACTATACTTCAACATAAAGAAAACAAAAATCCTCACAAATGGACCAATAAGCATCATCATGATAAATGGAGAAAAGATTAAAGTTCTCAAGGATTTCATTTTTCTTGGATCTACAATCAATGCCTGTGGAGGTAGCAGTCAAGAAGTCAAATGATGTACTGCATTAGACAAATCTTTAGTGTTCAAAAGCAAAGATGTCCCTTTGAGGACTAAGGTATGCCTGACTCAAGCCATGGTATTTCCATTCTCCTCATATGCATGGTAAAACTAGACAATAAATAAGAAACATCAAAGAATAATTGATGCCTTTGAATTATGGTGTTGGTGAGGAATATTGAATATACCATGATACTAATAGGAAGAAATACAGCAAGAATGCACCTTAGAAAAGAGGATGGCGAGACTCGTCTCACGTATCTTGGACATGCTGTCAGGAGGGTACATGCCCTGGAGGACATTATGCTTGGAAAGTTGAGGTACAGCAAAAATGAGGAGGAACCTCAATAAGATGGGTTGACACAGTGTCTGCAACAATGGGTTCAAACAGCAATGACTGTGAGGATGGTGCAGGACCAGGCAGCATTCTGTTCTACTGTACTTATTTTCACTCTGAGTGGGAAAAGACTCAAAGGCACCTAACAAAAACAATGAAAGAGACGGGAGCCTCGATGGTACAATAGTTAAATGCTCGGCTGCTAACAAAAAGTTTGGTGGTTCAAATCCACTCCACAGCAGAAAAATCTGGTGATCTACTCCCATAGAGATTATTGATTGATTGATTGTCATTCTGTTGAGTCGATAGCAACTCATAGTGACCCCTCCTTGGGTTTCTGAGGCGGTATCTCTGTGGAAGTAGATTGTCCAGTCTTCCTTCTGAGGAGTAGCTGGTGGCTTTGAACCACGAGCCTTCTGGTTAGCAGTCAAATGCCTTAGGTACTATGCTGCCGGTAGCATAGAAAAATCTACGTGGAAGTTCTATTCTGTCACTTGACATGACCATGAGTCAGAATCGACTCAACAGCACCTAACAAAAGCAACAACATGGAAGAAACAGAAGTACTTTTCTGTTCATTCTTTCAACATTTTTTTTTCTTTTATTATTATTTATTGTGATTTGGGTAAAATTTACAGATCAAATTCATTTTTCATGCAACAG